ATATACAAATGACATAGACAAACAATGTTTTTGCATAACGTACGCGGCATTAGAATACTATCAGAAGCAAATCAAAAAATTACCGTTAACCGAGCTCTAACTTCTCCTTTTTCTCATTACAACGCTTTTATCAACTTGCAATGTTGTGTGTCCAGAAACATTCAATGTTGTGGATCCAGAAACTTTCAATGTTGTGTGTCCGACACCATAAAACCTTTGCTTTGAAAAGTTCCTATAAAAAAGCATAGTGCATAGGGCGACATCTGTAGTGAATAGGGCGAGGTACATGACATCTAGATGTCGCCCTATGTACTACGTTTGCTACAGCGGAAATAGACGACACGCCATTTCTTTAAATAAAATTAATTGGTGCTCGTTTGTATGTACATACATATGTAAATGCATGTATGTGCACCTTTCTATTAATATCGTTGAATTATTTTAATATCTATTACAAAATTTTATTCAGACAGGACATGCGCTCCACGTTTTTCATTTTCAATTTCATAGATTGTTTATAATGACTTTTGCTAAAATTTCAAAATCAAAAGTTATCAAAACAAATTCTATGGGACTGAGAAATATTATTTTCTACTTTTTAGTCCATTTATAAAAGCGTTGTATATTAAAAAGTTTTTTTTATATTATTTTTATAGTTAGTTGTTATTGCAAATTTGATTTTAAGATGTAATTGTAATGTTTCAAATCTCTTAATATAGTTAATAGGAAAGAGAAAATAGTTCATTTCATTAGAGAAAACTAAGTCGAAGAGACACTCAGTTTTACTCTTCAATTTTTGAGATTTAAAATTGCAATAAGCTGAAATGCTTCTATAATATAAAGATTCGAGTATTTTACTCTTATTAATTCGTCTTAAAAACCCTTTTCAGTTGTATTTATTTTTTCAGTCCTGGTTGACATTTTCATGGAAACACCCATATGTATAAGTAACTTTGTATTTTTTCCTAGAAACAAACCAAGTTTACAAACCTATAACTTGCGTTAAATTCGCCAGCGAGTCGACGACACCTACAGTGATGGAAATGTTGTTACAATCGTACCTTTATTTAGTTTGAAAATACATTCGGTACAAATACACAGTTTTAGGTACATATGGAAGTTAGCCAAATAGCTTCTCAGGAAATCAGTTCTTATTTTTACTGACTTTTCAATGCATTTTCTGGTGCGGGAAACTGGTCTAATAGTTTCCCTTCTTTGTGAAGAGCCATACAAATGATACAGAAGGGTGGTTAAGTAACGCAACTGTAGTTGATTTCGCCAGATAGATGCAAAATATTTCTTTTTAAAACGGCAGGTCAAACAACTAGGAGGTAAGTGCCTTTTCTACAACATAGTTTCGTCTCGCGCTGCTCCAAGAGATTCTTTTCATAGCCAAAAATTTGTTTAATGTGAGTACAGAAGTTGATATGGCATCGATGGGAATTGTTACCTCCTATTTTTCTTTATATATAAATACATATTTACTTTTTAGGTACATCTATCTACTTTTAGGTAAGGGTTCCGTAAATTAGGTACAATTTTATAATTCAATTTTCCATCCATGATGGAATATCAGCTGTAAAAGAGGCCCAGAAACAAACAGCTGAATGCTCTTTGTTTAATAAACATGCCTCCAAGTCAAAATTAAACATACCTAGCAGGGTTGCATAGAGAATCTGACACAAATTGATTGCCAATTAATTATTAATTGGCAATTAATAATTTGAATTTTCGTATGATAAATTGTGTGTAACCCTGGTCAAAGCAACATCGCAAAAAAATATAGAAAAAAGGTTTTTTCTTAACAGCGGTCGTCCCTCGGCAGGCAATGGGAAACCTCCGAGTGTATTTCTGCCATGAAAAACAGCTTCTCATAAAAATACCATCGCCGTTCGGAGTCGGCGTAAAACTGTGGGTCCCTCCGCTTTGTGTGACAACATCAAGGCGCACGCCACAAATCGGAGGAGATGCTCGGCCAAACACTAGCATATGTGTAAGCGCCAATCTATTATTATTATTATTAAACTTATTTATTTATTTATTTATTTATTTATTACAGTCATTTGACCTATATACATTCACGTATATACATTTGAATTATGAATTGCAACATATAAAAGTAAAGTTAAATTTAATGCTTAAAATAAGTTAACCTGTTACACTTTTCCTTCTAAGCTATATAATAGTATGTATATTTAACTAAGATAGCATATTCTCGATGCTGTTGGAATGGATGGGATTCCAAGCAGTACCGTAAATATATCACGTACGATATGCGGTCTAAGAGTGTAATTTCCAGAGCCGCCACTCTGCAGTCAACCATTTACATATTTGTTCGACAACCGATACCATTCGGAACGGGTAAAAAACAAAACACAAGTAAATGGACCACCGTTGCTGTCGCGCGGCCTCGTGAAAATTTCCCCGTTTGAGAGACGTGTGTGTTGCCCAAATGGAGGCAAATGGTTAAAAAAAAAAAAAAATATATTCCCAAAAAATAAGTGAAATTTTATTAAAAACAGTGAAATTAAGTAACGAAAATCATTTCGTGTCGCCGGTAAAATCGGTAAAAGCTTGCGCGGAAGCTAAGCACAAAGCAAAAGTAAGAAGGAGCACGTTGTCGATTTGGCATTAACCGCGTGTGATATTTTGAATACAAGGTTTTTAAATACTAAAAAAAGGGATACATACCACATAACAGGACTACAAAAGCCGTTGAAGAACGCCGCATAGTGTACGTCGGACGTATTGAGGAGGAAACCACCAAGGAAATGCTAAGGAGAAAGTTTTTTGGCCCTATTATGTATGGCAACTGGTGTCTAGTTGCTGGTCTAGTAGCCGTGGCTACCAGTATCGTACTTTGTGTTATCTATAACGACTAATCTCAGTATACAGAAAAACGCAGACAACATCCAAATTTACTTTTTTGGACATGTACATTTCGAAGTAATTGGCAGCTTTGCTCAAATGTGTTTAACAATTTATGTAAACAAATAACAAAATCGTCATAAATGGAAAACACAAAATTGCGCTACTAGATCAGTAGCCGACAGTCAGTAGTCCGTTGCCATACTTAATGCAAATTTTAGTATATGGTTGGCTATCGGCTATCAGTCGCCATACAAAATAGGGCCATTTGCTTTATGGCATCATCAAACAAATTTCTATTCATTATAAAGACACAGGCATGAAATATGGAGTTTGTGCTAAATAAACTAAAAATGATTATCTGAAAAAATAAATAAATAAAACCAAAATAGTTTCAAGGAGTGCGTCCCGGAGCTTCATAACAAAATTGCGCTGTTCTGCATCCACAGGAGCGGCCAGCAGTTGGAGCCTTACCACAGAGCGAACGAGTCCAAGTCAGGTGTCCCCTTACCCCTCTAACACCGGGCGCGGAGGAGAAGCAACAGCAACAACAACAACAATAGTGTGGCTAACGCACAGCAGCAACACCGCCAAGAGCGCGGTCTTAACCGCCGAAAGCGCGGCCACCTCAACAACGCCACCAACCAGCGCGGCTACTACAGCGCTGCGCAACACCGGCAATAACAACGCCCGCCACAGCAGCGGGG